CGCGGCCCGTCCCTGTCCCTCAGCGCGCCCCCGGCCTGTTTGCGGGGCCGCGCGGGGGTGCCCCGGGCCTGCCGTGCGGGAGGGGGATCCCGAGCTGCGCAACTGTTGGGGGCGGTTCACCTTGAAAACACGGGGGTTTTAAAAATTATTTTGTTTTTACACAGGGTGTTTTTCTTCCTCGGAGGATCGAGTTACCAGCGATGGGAAGCCACCAAAATTTCAGCCGCCTCCAAAGCCCGTCATTATTGACAAGCAGAAGCTGAGGGAGGAGAGGAGGTAGGGTGTCCGGGCGCTTGTCACAGTGGGCTTGTGTTCAGGTCTGCTGTAAGGCTGGTAATTGTGTGAGCACCTCCTTGAACCTCCAAGGCATTATTACACAAAAAGCATTTGCGTAGTTCTAGCATTTATGTTGAAATATGCCTAAACCACCTTAAAGTATTGTGTTCTGGAGTTTTTGAAAGCAGTGATACGTGAAATAAATGTTATAGCAGCAAACACTCTTGCAAATTTGGTGTTAATGTGTGAGGTTCTCTCTGTTAAAGGCATGCGGTCTCCTCAGTATGCCACAAGGTGACAGGGATATGGATCCTGTGTCTGCCTTTGCCTTAGACCAAGCCCATACGTTACAGTTTGTGAAATGGAGCTGATGCCAGCAGTGGTAACCTTCATGAGACGTCTCTTCTTCTGAGTATTTTTATTGTCACCTCAACTTGTTTGTGTTGCTTTAGATGACATGGTGGTTAAAAATGCAGTGCTGTGCCTGGAAGGAGAGCGATAGTACTGTATTGTTCATTTTTCCTTCCTGCCGCCCAAAAAACCCCTGTAGGCGTAGGTAGCCTAGGAATGAGGAAGGAATTAAAAACCAGACTATAAAAATTCTCACTCTGTCTTCAGACCTGTTAATGGAAATATCTTTAAGAAGTGAGGATTCTACGTGGCTCTTCTAAGAGTAATGTGTGACGCGGCAGCTTTGTGGAACAGGGAGCTACATTTAAATGGTGTTTTATTCTCCTGAGATTGTGCAACTTTGAAGGTCATGTAGGCAACAGCAACCAGAACCTCTGTGCTGCCACACACATTGCCCTGTGCTCCCCCCACAGCCCCCGTAGGGTTTGTAAGGCTGGTTTGCCTTTGTCCTCCTGTGTTGGGTGCTTCTCTCCTGGCCAGGTCCAGGACTTTTTAAGATGTGTCTGTACTAGTGATTTAAATCTGTCCAGCTTCATCCTCTAGCTCTGAGGCCAGGCGGTCTTACCATCCAAACCAAAGTGACCACATCCAAATGGTCTGTTGGAAATGGCCCTCGGCCCAGGCCAATACCGTGTCAGGAAGTGTGCCTTCAACTCAGCAGTCAGACAATGGAGTTCCAGGGCATGAGGAAATTCCTTGGCATGGTTTAATATATTAGAGCAGAAAACAGTTTTAAGAGTTTGTCTAACGCAAAAGAACATTTATGTGGTGTCTCTTGGAGGCTCTGGCTGTTTTTAAGAACTAGTAATAGATTGTTTCCTATCTGTTACTGGAAAGTCATCAAATAGCAAGTGTTCTGTCACGTGGATTACAATTAAACCATGAAATAACCTGTTCCTAAGCTGTGACAACAGTAACTGAACTGTCCTCTTTCAGTTAGCTCCTCTGAGACCAACATTTATTGTTGGTTTTGAAAAAGATCTGTTTAAAAGAAGAAAACAAACCCACAACAACAACAGAACCCCACAAAAAAACTTTGGATAACCAAAAAAAAAAGGTAACTTCGTGAACTGCAGGTCGTATCTCTGAAAAGGCAACTGGTATTGGTGGTTAACAGGTGGCAATTTTTGATTTTTAGGCCAAATACTTGGACTTCTTTAGTACTTTTTACGCAAATGCTTTTGTTTTATACTTACAGAAGTTTGGATTTTCTTATAGGTTCTTGAGCCCTGAATTTATACCTCCCAGAGGGAGAACAGATCCCTTTAAATTCTATATAGAAAGAAAGGATATGATACAGAGACGAAAAGTCTTCAACATCCCAGAGTTCTACGTTGGTCAGTAACAGAACTTCTATAATTTTGTCAAAATTGTTCATTGGGTGGGGTAGTAATCAGTGTGGTTGGACATTGTAGAATATCACAGACCATCACAGTATCAAGTGAGTTAGATGAACTAGTACGTCTTTCTGTGCTTACTACTTGGGTCTTTTAATTTTGTATTTATATTCAGTTTCCATTAAAAATGTAATACTAATGTGGGTGTGATGGTGTTTTTAAATCCTGGCACTTTAGCATATGGTTTACCAGTAAAGCTCAAGAAAGGAAAATACATTAGATTATTTGCATTCAATTTGCATAATGAAGAATAAAAGATAAAGGTGAAGGCTTAAAGTTGAAGAAGCTTTATAGTTAACCTGCAGAATCACTTTAACATATATTAATGCAGGGCATGTTAGAAGTTTATTCTGCTTCTTGCAGTTTTTAGTGGAAAATAAAATTCTTCAAAATGTAAGTAGGTATTTGCACTTTGTGACTCT